GCCCCACCATGGACTCTGGCTAGAGAACCCTCATGGAGTCCTGGAGATGAGCCCCTTCCAAAGCCACAAGTGCTGCACCTTCGATGTTTCTGGGGTCACCTTGGCTTTGGCTCTTTCTAGTATGTTCCTTAAGAAAAATCACATGCCTCCACAGGGTTCTAAGTGTTGACTTTGGGGGAGAAGGGGTGGTCCATCAAAGCTCTGTCACAGAGGATTGGGCAGCGTGCCAAGAAGAGCTGCCCACTAAGCCTTCTAAAAAGGAGTGACTGGCACTTTGACTGTCTTCTTCCTTCCTGTCTCTGGAGTGGGTGCCTCTCTCTGGGACTTTCCATGAGGGCAGAAATGGCAGCTGCTCATAAGTGGCTGAGAGAACCAGTGACTGTCCAGGGGATCCTGAGTTGGGTTGTCATGGGCCCAGCTACATTCTGCTTTGTATGTCGAAGTACACTTTTCTGAAGAGTAATCTGGAAATGGAGCTTTCCAAGCTTGGGGACAATGTGGGAGCTGGAGAATTCAGAGCCTGGGACCCTCATTTAGTGCTGGTTACACTAGGGCAAGTGTCCCTACATCTTAACTATGCTGTTTCTTGGAAGAGAAGGCAATCCCTGACCAGAGGCTGAGTGAAGGGGTTAGCCTGGCTTGCCAGAAGACACAGACCTTCAAAGGGTGATGATGCAGAGAGCAGGTGAGATGCCCATTCCTTAGTCCTGGCAAATGTTTCCTATTTGGATATTTTCAGAATACAACTCCTGGGAGTAGAATAGCACTTCGAAGTTACTGCTGCAATTTTAAGTCTATCAGTCACACTTAGGAGTCTTTACAGGTTTTTTTAAAAAATCTCATTAACAATTGTTCTGAGTTTGACAAACATTAAAAAACTCATTTCCATGTAAGCCTCCAAGATTGTGTCCATCTGCTCTAGACGTAGCATGTACGTACCCGTGACTTGCATGTGGTCTGCCTCATGAGAAGTTGAGCTTCTTGAGGACCAGACCATGTCTCTGCCTTTCTGAGTCCACCTCTTAATACGGCTCTAAGTGCTTGTTGACTGGCTGACCAGCATTCCACCCTCCCTGTGGTTTCCTGGATTCCATACCCAGGAGAAGGCCTTTATCATCATATGCTCCTTACGTCTCAGCTCCTGCCTCTGGTCTCTCTGATTCTTTTCAGATCCAACGTTGTTTCCCATGCACAGCCTCAGTGATTCTGTGTGGCCGGTTTAAAATTCAGAAGCAATATATACATGTATCATGGCACAATATCTCACTCACTCACCATCTCCAAATGCCACGAGGTCAAAAACCTTTGTTCATGTTGGGTCTGATCGTCTACCTGTTCTCATTCCCAAACTGCAAGCAGGAGAAATCAGGAAATTCACTTATGGGATATGTGCCTACTGTCTCCTGCCACCACAGATCCAGAGAGGAGAGGGGAAAATAGGGAGGTGGCAGTCCTGACCATCACTAAAAGTATTAGTTGGAAAAGTAAGTGACTATACCTATGATCCCAGTTGTCCTCGCAGTGGGCAACTACTGGAATGAGCAGGTGATACGCCCATGGATGCTGGCAGTGGGTCTTTCTGGAGTCATTGAGACACCCATGGCAGTGGGTCTTTCTGCAGCCATTGAGGCACCCATGGCAGTAGGTCTTTCTGGTGCCATTGAGGTGTCCATGGATACTGGCAGTGGG